TTTAGTAGCATAATTTACTCTGATTCTTGACCTTTGATCTTTACCGTTGCCAATGCGTGATGATGCTAAATAAACACCGGCAAGTGCAAAGATTAGATGCTCTTGTGTTGGTGATTCACGGGGTAGATCATCTTTTGTTGGTTTTGAGCCGTTGCTTATTCCCATGTTTGCAAAAGTAATACTTGGGACAATTAGTTGAGAATCTTCATCAAAAATTGGGTAGCTAGAATGCATTTTGATGAATAATCCTCTTTCTTGTTTTGCAAAGCGTATTTTATAAGTTCTGATGATAGTTTGCACAGCAGAGGGGAATTCGCTGATGCAGTGTAAATTGGTGCCTTCTAGATAGATAGTGTCGATGAATCCATGAATAAAATAATCCCATAAAGTCATAGGATCTGATAAATCGGCTAGGAAAACTGCTTTAGGGCCTGGGCGCCTGGCTACTGGGTAAAAGCCCATTAAAGAATGGACCTCGGTGTAGGAAACGAGGTTATCCCATAATTCAGCGAATTTTTTGGCAGATGGTTTTTTCATGGCTTCCTTTTCTTTGGTTGATAGAATGGATTCAAGGGCAATTTTTGCATTTAATTGGTTAAGGGATCTTGGGATGGATACAGGTTTTTGTGGTGTGAAGCTGGTCATAGGTTTTTGTGGTGTTAGGAGAACTGTTTTTGAACATTCTACGTTATCTTTTATTACTGCTTTGTATGCTTCGTTGTATGCGGCTTCTGCTTCATTTTTTGTTTTGTAACTTTTGTGAATAATATTTCTTCCAAGAATATATGAACTGGCAATTCCCCAATTGTCATATACTCCTTTGTTTTCTCCGTTGAAAATCACGTACCATTTCTTTATATTTTGATCTGCTTGAAGTGGTGGATATTCTTCTGGATTTTGTATTATAGGTTGGTTTTCTGACTTGAGCATTGTTTGTGGCTGACTATCATCGGATGAAATTTCTTGAATGTCTTCTTTTGGTTGCTTCGTTGTTGAACTGCTAGCTGCTTCTTCTTTAGGCACTGATTGGGATGATAGAATTTGTATTGTTTGTCGTAGTTGTTCTTTTTCTCGTCTGACTGCTTCGAGTTGTCTGACTAATGATGCTTCTTGCTCTTCTTTTTGTTTGAACTGGTGTTTGATTTGCTTCATGATTGCTTCCATTTCAATATATCTGTGGATTGAATATTTGCATCTCTTGGGTACCTGAATAATTGCTTAAATTTGTTTGTTTCAAATGATGATATGAAAATTTTCATATCAATGTCTGCTTTTGGTGATATATTCATATCACTGTATGCTTTTGGTGATATATTCATATCACTGTATGCTTTTGGTGATATATTCATATCACTGTATACTTTATTATTGTTTACTTCAGATGGTACTTTCATACCATTGTATGCTTTAGCAATGTATATTCCAGATAGATTAGATATGAGGTTTCCCTCAAGTTCTAATTCTAGTAATACTTTTTCCATAGGATTATGTACCTGCATCTGAATCAGAATCAGTTGTATATGCATAAATATCTATATCTGAATTTATATCTGAATCTTCTATGGGTTCGTATCCAAGGTCGTATGCAATTTTTAATATATTTGTTTCTTTTTCTTTTTTAGTCTTCTTTGGGCATTCATAAGCTTTGTGTCCTTCTTCTTGACATATCCAACATTTACAGTCTTTTTTATTTGATGGGCAATAATTTGTTTTGGATTGATATTTTTGTTTATATTGTTTTCTATTTCGGAAATATTTTCTTTCCCCTTGTTTATAATATTCTTTGTATTTAGGTTTATATGTTTGTTTTTTCCAAATTTTCTTTTTACTTTGTTGTTTTTCTTTACAACCATATTGATTTACTTTGTTAGAAAGGATGTCACAACATAAATCGATTTTTGCATCTTGTGCTGTTTTTTGTTCTAAACATTTTTTCTGCATCCATGCTTTTAATATGCTTATTCGTGCTCCTAAGGTGTCTGCAACTTTATTTTGTTGTAATGCTTCTTGGAAATCTTTTATTACACTTTGGCTTACTAATGATGGTAATTTTTGATAGAACATATCTAATGCTGCCTTTTTTCTAATAGAATCTAAATTATAATAATGTTCAGAATATTCACATATAAATGGTTCTAGATAACACATATTACAAATTCGTAAATTAGTTAAATGCCATAGTGATTCTAATTGAAAAGCTTCTTTTGATATTTTATCTTCAATTTGTTTTCCTATGAATTCCTGAATAAGACGGCTTAATATATTTTTAAATGTTTCCATAGCATCGGTGGTGGCTATCATCATTGTTTCGGTTTCATCAAGAGATGAAAGGAAACGATATGCGTTACCTTGTGTTTTATGAATGATATAATTAAGAAAGTGTTTTGGGTGTAAATTTCTTAATTCTTCGGTTAACTGAATTTGTACTCCCATTTTATTACTCCATTCTTGAATTTTTGCTTCAGGATTTTGGTCACAATCAATAAAAAGAATATCTGAATTTGTTGGAAATGTAAATAATTTAGGTATGTATTGAGGAGGTATTTTTTCCCATTTGTTTTGTTTATTTTTAACCATTCCTTGTCTATATAAAAATTTTTCTTCTAATGAAGGTGGTCCATAAATATATTGACTTTGATAATCATCTTCAACATATGATTGTTTTCGTTTTAATCCAAAATTGTTTTGTGAATCTCTATATGGATTTGAATAAGGGTTTTCATCATCTGAAGAAAAATCATATATTACTTCTGCATCATTATCATCTGAATTATTTTCTATTTCTATATTATTTTCTTGAGTTTCAGATGGAATTTCTAGTGCTGCAAATAATTTAGTTAGTGTTTCTACTTTTTCTTGTAAAGTTTCCATATATTGTGTGTATTAAAATAAAATTTTTTGTTTCTTTTTTCTAGTGAAGTAGTTGTTTTTTCTATCATATTTAACAAATTAATTTTGTTATTTTATCTTCAAGGTTTTTTGTTTGTTCTTGTTTCCAATTTATACTATTATTTATTATATGTATTGTTTCAATATTAGATATACAATTTATCATTGATATGTCAGAATCTATTTTTAAGTCTAAAAGAAATTTTTTAGATTGTTTCAATGTTTTACGAAAAAATTTTAATTCTTGTTTATTTGTATCTAGACTTGAAAAACTCATGATTATAATTTTATAATAATAATGGTTTAGTTTCGTTTTAGATTTAAAGTTACGATTAAAATTTATTTAAAAATAGTAGTGGTTATTATAATAATGTTTAAAAGACATACGTTTTAAAATACAAATAGTTCTGTTTTTAGACGACGTATTTGCTTATAACGGATTTTAATACTAGTTCTTATGAAATATCTAACATCATGAATATGGTTATTGTTTAAAATCGTACCTTGATTATTAGGTTTGTAAGAATCCTTGAGATTTTTCTTAGAATTATTTATAGATTCTTGGATTTGTTATATTCTTAAAATAATATTTCTATTAGGAATACAATTCATCAAAATTTTGTTAGACATAAATATATATTTTAAGCATGAATTTGATTAATTTGATTATTAATAACGAGTATTATTTTAATAAAAATTTCAAATTTTGTAGAATTAATAGTTAAAACAACTCGGAATGATAATATCATGAAGAAATAAAAGTAATTTAACAATTGAAAATATCTTGAGACATATTTATGGTATTAAATCTTCTTACGATAAATATTTTAATTGTTGATAACTTTTTTAAATATGAATATTTAAAAACAATGGTTATTTATTATCATGTTTATGATGCTTATCATGTTTATGATACTGCATATGCATATATTCTTATTAACAACGATAGATTGAATATGCAAACTAATAATAAGAATAATAAGAACGTTACTTAGCTCTGATACCAAATTGAAAGACATGACGGAATTAATAAAATTAGGACAGAATATACCTGAATGATGCGTCGGAATGGATTGATTGTCTGGGTTTGATATGTTTATATGAATATATGGATATGTTTGGATAGGGTTCTGCTATTCAGAAATAGACGAGCTATTTCAACAGAAGAAGATTAAGATCAACTCAAATCTTAAACATATCCATATATTCATATAAACATATCAAACCCAGACAATCAATCCATCGTCAATCCATTCCGACGCATCATTCAGGTATATTCTTTCTTAATTTTATTAATTCCGCCATGTTTTTCAATTTGATCTGAGAGGAGAGAGAGAGAGAGAGAGAGAGAGAGAGAGAGAGAGAGAGAGAGAGAGAGAGAGAGAGGCTAGAGGAAATTGTGCAAGAGCTATTTGTTGAAAACGGGGGATTAATGGGGCTGGGTCAAAACCCAATTAAAGGGTCAAAACCCTAAATTAACTATAAAATCGGCGAATTAAAGATGTTAGGTCACATACGAGTATTCAAGGGATGTATGTATTAACTAATTGTACTTTCTGTTTAAATTTTTGGACGTTTTAAATTATATTATTATTGTATTTAATATAATTTGAGTTTTATTATTATTTTATTAATGATTGGTTGTACTTTAAGCTTAGAGACTTGAACGTCTTAAAAAAAATAATATTATTATATTAAAGCTATTTTTAGAAATAATGAGATTTCTTTTATAATGTATTATATATATATATATATATATATATATATAAGTTTGAGATATTCTTAAAGAACTTGAGCGTTCCGATTTTGTTTCAATCCATTTTGTTTCCTTATATATTCCATATCATTTGGAATCAAATCCCATCTGACATGGAAGACCTTTGCATAACCGCAACCCATTGCAACATCAGACATGAGTCATTGTGATGACATGCCGTGTGATACCAGACCACGAAATCGACTAAGGAGACCCAAAGGCTAATGCAACTAGTTCATGAGTCCAAACTCATAATGCATGTGGGACCCACCTGTGATAACTATGAATGTATGCATATGTATATAGCATATACAACAGTTGACACTTGACACATTGGAAAAATGTACGTTTATTACACATTTAATTCGATTCAATTCATCTGTACATACCTAACTTGGTAAACAGTAAATAAAAAGAGAAAGACATTCATATTTAACATTTTAACTCAACTCAAAAGAATCTCATCTGATTACACCAACAACATAACGTTCAAGCTAGTTAAATTCCTTTGATTTTTCATGCTTGTTGCTGATTTGAGTCTTCTGTAGATGAATTGTCGTTACTACCCCCAATCTCAAACTTGCATAATGGACACGATGCATTGATCTTCAGCCATTTGTCTACACATTGTATATGGAAGAAATGTGTGCAAGGAAGCTCTCTCAACAAATCATTATCCGCATATTTTGCCAGACATATGCAACAAACCTATCCACCATTTTCAACCATTTATCGGTTAAACAAAAGGGTAAAATGGTCATTTACTCACATTCACACATTTCATTATACAACCACCTACATCACCTGCCCTTATTTTTTTCTCCCAAATCCTTTCATGTTAAAACTGATACAAATATTTTAAATTTTACTTTTTTTGACATGTAAGGGTAAAATGGTCATTTAGTCTCGTAACAAAACTGTGGAGTGATAAGTTAGAAGAACTTACAGCATCTTCCCCAGAAATGACACGTTCTTTTTCAGTTCCTGCTGCTAGAATCCCACCTTCATCAACACCTGAATCATCATCTTTCATCATTTCATTATTATTATTATTATTTGTGTTTTTCTTTAGTTTAAATTTGTGTGTTGGTAAAGCACTGATGGAATCTTCACTTGCTCCTCTCATTTGATTCATATCCTCACGAACACCAAGGATTGAAATGATACAAGGCAAACAGCAACATATCATTCCACATAAAATGAAAGGCATCGCGTATCCGATACAGCTAAACGTAAGAAACACTATACATAGCCTGCAATTAATCAAACAAACAACACAACTCATTTGTTACTCAAGGGTAAAATCGTCATTGTTTCACTCATGTTAAAGTACCTGTACAAATTGGGAGCATCAGCAGAGGATGAATGTCCTCCAAATATCCAGACATTTCCAACTACAAACCATACAGCAAAGAAGCAATCTAAAGCCATTTTGAAATGGTCCACAAGCATACTAAGCCTGTTAACAATAAATACCACATACAATTAATTGAATCACATTTATTGCTAACTAATAATATAATAAAGAAAATAAAATAAAATGCTATGATTACCTGGCATTGGACCCCACATTAAGACCATTCCAAGTGTCTGGAGATGTGGTGGGTGGACGTGTTTCCTCTTCTGAAGAACGAGCAAAGGAGATTGTGATATAAGAATTTGGTTCTGGTGTATGGTTAGCTTCAGAAGGTGGTTGTCTAGCTTGACTTGACCCTGGTTCAGTAGCTTGATTTCTATGGAGATATCGCCAGTATAAAAATGGAAGACTTGCAACACATCCAGCTGCATACCCCACAATCCAAGCAAACAATGGAGTCTGTGGGTTCTCCTTTTGTGATATACATAAGACAACAATGGATGCAATGATTTGCCCCAAAGTGAACACTAATTCAATTGAAATCCATAACAATGTGTCGAATGGGCTCCATCTTCGCCTCCCAAACCCTTCTCCTCTCCTTCCAACTCCATTTGATGTTGAACCACTGGATGATGATCGAATCAGTTGAGAAGTGGAAGCTCTAGGGCTGTTTGATAAGCCATGAGAAAGAGAATTAGTTGATGCGTTTGATGAGGAAGAAGCATCATCATCATCATCACCATCACCTCTTTCCAAATCGATTATATGCTCGTTTTCATGGTGTACTCGGCTCTCAATGAGCAAAGGGAAACTGTCTGTTGCATGGTCTATGTTCTGTTCTTCAGGGATTACAGTTACAGCCATTCTAGTTTGGTGAAAGTTAGGGAGGAAACAATCGCATAATTGGCGTTATCAAGAACAGATGCTTTAGTCTCCTTCACGATTCCTGCAATATGTAAGCTGGATAGAATGTTATACCTTCTCCTTCGATGATAAATTTCATGAAAGGGTAAAACACAGACACACGCAACTTGAATTCAGCTGAACAAACATCACGGCTTCGATTTTAAGCCATAAATTTAATCATATTCACCAACGAAGCTAGAAAAATCGAACTAAAACTCAACTTATCCATCATCGAAATCTTCAATCTCGCATCAATTTTGTTAGGATTACAGGAAATCGATGATAAATTAACAATCGACGAATAACCTAAAATCGTAAGACTCGATAGAAAAACCTTCAACGAAATTTCACCAACATCATAAAGAATAACAACAAGAATCCAACGATCAGTTCATATACCAATTCCGTATCAGAATGAAATCCACATGATTCGATAATGAAATTCAAAACCAAGAAATTGACGAGCAGATTACAAACAAACGGTACGAAATTGAACAAAAAGAATCTTTCAAAAGGCAGGGTTAGGAATTAAAGAAAACGTACCAGTGATTTGAGGTCAATTAAAGGATTTTTGTAGAAAAAATGACCTTAGTTGCGGTTAAATTCTCTTTTTATTTTCTTCCCCAAGAAAGAATCACAGCTTTTATCCCCTGTTTGTTGAGAAAACCGGTCAAAAGGGGGAATTTTGAGCAAAAGTCAAACGTTCATGCCCCAAAGGCCCAACCCTTCGATCAATATTTCCGTCCCCGCCTAACAAAGTTATTTCAATATGATACGATTATTTCTAGAGAAAAATACAAATTTGGTCCAGGGGTTTGTGGTTTTATGTGATTTTGGTCCTTATGTTTTTTAAAATGTAAATTTAGTCATTTCAGACGGGTTTCTTGTGATTTTGGTTTCTAAAAATAACACTCATTTGACTTTTCTGCTAAATTTTATGAGATGACAATTTTAGTGCCCTTAATGTAAAAAATAACTTATTTATCTATTATAAAAATAAAATAATAGGCCCAACAAAACCCTAACGCAACCCACATATATATATTCCTTACATCTTCTTCTTCTCCGACTCACAGCTCAACATTTACCTTCTTCTCACCACCTCTGCTTCATTTTCTTCGGATCTTTCCAGGTATGTCTTTGTTCCCTTCGGCCCTAATACCTTCTACCACTGAAATATTTTCAAGCTCAACAAGAAGCTTGTTCACAACCGGTCAGAAATCATCATCAGTTGCATCAAAACAATTATGATTTTCATCAAAGAACTTCTCCTTCATAAAAAAAATGGAAGAAATGTTTGAATGACAGTTTTGATTTGTAATTAACATAAGGTTACACCGACTAAGCATGCGTGGCTAAAGAGTATCTTTTTATTCTATTCCTCATCTTCTTTGTTGCACGAATTTGGAAATAAGTAAAGAGTGCGATTATGATTACATATCGAAAATTCTTTTAAAACCAGAAAGTGATGGTCTCGAATAGGCCTTTAGGGATTATTTTGATCCTAGAACCGAACTGAAAAACTGAAAACCGAAAATGAGGAAATATGGGAACTGAAAATACCGGTTCAGTTCTAATTTTGCTTTTTTTGGCTCTAGAACCGTAATGAATTGAACTTCTAAAGCCCGTTGTTGTTTTCTGTATTTTAAGGTAGCATTTTCATATTATCTAGTGGTTTTTTTACCATTACTATGTCATTGATATAAAATTAAAAACATTGGTGAGAAAAAACCAACAACCCATGTTTAGGATTGTGTAACTAAACTATTTCTTAACTAAGATCGAAAACCCTAGCATTGGGAGTGAGATTTGAAGATTTTGAGTGAGTTTTGTGTATTCTTGTTTGTGAAGGAAGATCATCAAAGAAGTGGTTTTTCTCTCAAGTCCTTGGATCCAACATCGTCTCTTCATTGTGCACATTTTGGAGGTATAAAGCCCCAACCTTGATGCATGTCTCTTTAGATCTTGGTTAAGCTTAGATTTTCACTCTTTTGTCCCAAAGCCTTTAAGCTGTCATTTTAGACGTTTTAGGGTATTTTATGTCATAAAAATGCAAGATTGGATCTTGGTTTTCTTCCATGCAAGAGTTATGGAGTTGTAAATGGTTGAATGAGTTAGGTTTTGATGTTGGGCTCCTTGTAGCTATGCAAAGGAATAAAGGTTGAAACTTTATGGCCTTAGACGTCTTATTGAGCTCAGATATGAATTTTAGACGCTAGGTCTTAAGGCATTAAGACCTTAATAGAAGATTTTGAACCATGATGCGTATGCCTAGCGTAAATGGAAGTACGTTGCGCGTACTGCACATCGACCCCGTTTTTCCTTCTGCATCAGACGCTTGTGCGCGGGGCGTACTGCTCAGATTCAACGTTTGGGTCGTTCTTTTGGGTCTTGGACCATTAGGAGTTGAGCTATGAATGGGAAGGGTAAAATGACCTGTTTGACCTTATTTAGGATATTGGAATATTTTGACTGTTTATTATGGGTTAGAACCGTAATTATTAATTAGGGTTATTTTTGGAATATAATTAGTGTGAGGAGCCGTGTTAGCAGCAACTCGAGTGTGCGGTTCAGCTATCTACTTTTGGAGGTGAGTTTTCTTACCATACTAGTTGGTCGAAGGCACCAATGCTGGCTCACTGATTTATATGTGTTGGATGTATGTGATTATATGACTATGTTTGATATGATTGAATGATATATATATAGAGCCAATCTGGGATCGGAGTCATTATGGACTTGGGGGTTGATACGGACACGACAAAGCTACATGTTGTCATATGGGTTGATACAGACCCGGGGGTTGATACGGACCCGACACAACTACATGCTGTCATATGGGGTTAATACGAACCTGACACAACCACGTGTTGTTATATGTATATGTTTATTGTATGTGGTATTTTGGGGAAGCTCACTAAGCTTTGTGCTTACAGTTATGTTTATGGTTTTATGTACTTCCGGTACAAAAGGGAAGAGCCCGACATGATCACAACGCATCAACCCATGTTCCGCATTTTCTTTATGATTTAGATTTGTACTCTGATGATTATTCTCATTTGACATACTTTGTTTTGGGGTTGTTATGAATACTTGATGGTTTTCAATTAAATTAAAAATGAAAATTTTATCCATGATTTTGAGGTGTTACAAGTTGTTATCAGATCCTTGGTTTGAAGGATTCGAACATAATTTCGGGTGTGCCAGAACTCAAACTGAGGAAATGATAATCTTTTCAAAGAAAAAAAAACGAATTTCTAAAAGATTTTTATATAAAAAAAAAGTGTGTGATGCGTGCAATCAGCCGAGCTCAAGTAACTAATTCCCAAAATACCCATACATATGTGTTAGTATGCCTGATATATGAATCACATGCTTAATTAGGGCTAAGGGTACTTTCAGGAATCGTATGATAGGGTTGCTTGATTTGTATGATGCCTTATATCCTAGGAGATTCGGATGCTATATGTTCTGTTAATTGCTAAGTGTATGCTTTAAAAGTTGTATACGATTAGGATCATATAGCCCTAGAATGGTTGATTTAGCCTTATTTCATGTTCCTTTTTTGGTTGTGGAATTAGGGTAGAATCATTATTTGACAGTCTATAATCTATATGGTCCCATTTTGCGTACAACTTGCATGCATAAGGCCAAGAGCGTTAAGAATTGAAGTTGTCTCAACGATTGTAGAAAGCATCAAGAAAGCTCAGGAAGAAGCTTTGGAGAAAAATTACCGGAATGAAGAACGTTTAGGAAAAACGTTGGTGTTCGGTACAAACGGTCAAGGATTCAAGGTATTCCAATATAGGATTTGGGTACCTAAGATAGGAGGACTGAGAGATCTTCTGATGGAAGAAGCTCACAAGACCATGTACTCGATTTATCCCGACATCACTAAAATGTATAGGGATCTAAAACCCTACTACTGGTGGCCGACGATGAAGCTCGATGTTGCAAAGTATGTGGCCGAGTGTGTAACATGTGCGAGAGTTAAGGCACAACATCAAAAACCGTATGTGAGTTTAGAGCCCTTACCTGTACCCATGGGTAAATGGGAAGACATCACCATGGATTTTGTGACTAAACTGCCCTGGACAAAGAACGGTCACGACATGATTTAGGTGGTCGTGGATCGGTTCACTAAGAGTGCACACTTCATAGCAGCCAATGAGAGATGGTCAATGAATAAGCTTGCAAATGCTTACGTGAACGAAGTAGTAAGACTTCACGGTGTTCCTTTAACAATTGTATCAGACCGTGATAGTCGTTTCACATCAAGGTTTTGGAGGAGTCTATAAAAGGAATTGGGTACGAAGTTGTCTTTAAGTACAACTTACCATCCGCAGATTGATGGTCAGAGTGAAAGAACGATTCAAACGTTGGAATATATGCTAAGAGCATGTACCCTAGAATTCTAAGGTATCTGGGATGAACACTTACCCCTGGTAGAATTTTCCTACAACAATAGTTACCATTCGAGCATCAAGATGACACCTTACCGAGCTTTGTATGGAAATAAGTGTCATACGCCATCATGTTGGCTTGAAGCTGGAAAAAAGCAGTTTATGGGTCCCGAGATAGTCCATCAGACTATTGAAAAGCTGAAAGTGATTAGGGAAAGGATGTTAGCAACTCAGGATCGTCAAAAGAGCTATGTTGACAAGAAGAGGCGACCGATGAAGTTCGAAGTTGGAGATTCGGTTTTGCTCAAAGTCTCACCGTGGAAGGGACTTATAAGATTTGGGAAAAGAGGAAAGTTGAGTCCAAGGTTTATTGGACCGTTCAAAGTTCTTCAGAGGATTGGGAACCAAGTTTACAAGCTAGAACTACCAGAAGAACTAGATGGTATTCATAACATTTTCCATGTGTGTTATTTAAGGAAGTTCACGGGAGAAGTTCCTTACATAATTCCACTGTTTGAGTTAAGGATGGATGAAAATAAGAGGCTAATTGAAGAGCCGAAGGCGATTGTTGACCGTAAGACTAAGAAGTTGTGACGCAAGATGTTCGACTTAGTGCTTGTGTGATGGAAACATATGAATGGGCCAAACCTCACCTGGGAAATGGAGAGTGACATGATGAGTCGCTATCCGCATCTGTTTGCTGATGCATGATTCCGAGACGGAATCATCCTAAGGGGGAGAGAATTGTAACGCCTGTGTTTCGAGGCTAAGCATTAATATGATGATGTAATAGTTAGGGTCAACAAATATAACTTATTTTGACGTAATAAAGAGGAATTACTTGAATATTATGTGGATTATGTGATTTTATGTGCATTATACTTATTTATAAGATATAATAAATTAAGAATGAAAATAAGCGTCAAAAATAAAAATATAGATAAACCCAATATATATGAAGAAAGTTGTAGTGGTCGTGACAAGGATTCCAGAGGTATAAAGAACGCCGAAATCCGAGTTATAACAAAGAAGTTATGACTTGTCGAAGTTTCGCGACAAAACCGGCATGACGTTGTGTGACGTAAAAAGTGAGTTTACGATAAAGTGATTTTTAGCCTTAGTGATCTAAACAAAATTCGTAGTATACGTTAAGCCGAGAGCGTGCATAAAACGAACGTCCAAATCTGACTTCGTATGAGGAAGTTATGAATTTTCTAAGATTTGGCATAACAGTGTGCAGCCCATAGTTCGAATTTTAGATCGAGCAATTTTTAGCCGACACGAACTAAACGAGAATCGAAGATCTCGTCAATAGGATCTCAACGATAAAAAGACAGACGATAACGGACGTCGGATGACAAAGTTATGAATTTTTAACGGACTTTTCCTGTCCTGGCTTGTTAAAAATATAATTTTAAAAATAAAATCAAAATTAGACGACGGAGTCTAAACGAAAGTTGTAGAGTACGTTCCCACCTACGTGTGGATATAAAGAACATCGAAAATGGAGCTCGTATGCGAAATTTACGAATTTTAAAAGTCGAGTGTGTAAATTACGAATGCTGTCCGAGGGGAACGCCCCGCGTAGAAGGAAGGAACGCCCCACGTTCGGATACTAGGTCTCGATTCGGCCACGTCTCTCCATCTGATGAGTGACACACAACTGTACGAACCTCGGACACCTGCCCCGCTCCTACGGCCTACATTCGCATAAGCGCCCTGCGTACGAGGAATGCGCTGCGCTCCTCCGAGGAACGCCCTGCGCACCGAGGCTTCGACCCTATAAAAGGAGATGCGAGGCAGCCATATTTTTCACATATAAAATCCTTTCTTTCTTTCTCTACTCTCTCTCTAAACCTCCCAAACACCCCAAGCCTAGGAAACTTCCCTAACACTAGAAGAAAGCCTTAGAGCGCCCGAAAGGCTCTGAGAAAAAAAAACTTTTCGGCTCGGAAAGCTCCGCCCTCGCAGAGCCCGGTTTCTAGCAAACCTCCCAGTTTCGTCAAAGGAAATCATATTTTTAAGAAGCGAAACGCTGTCTAAGTTGGAATCACCACCTTATCAGGTGAGTGCATAATTACTTTTATCTTACACATAGATATGAAGTATTTTATATAAATTACATGCTATGTGTGCATATTATCTGTTTACTTGAGATCTATGCTGGATGAATGATTTAAACACTTTTCTTATGATTTAAACTGTATATGTATTTTATATCTACCAATATGTCGGGTAAAACATGGGTATATGAAAATAGTTGATGTGTGATGAAATAAAATGATGAGAGACCTCGATGTTTACGATGATCTAGTCATCTAGCGGAGTATAGATGACGACCACATACTATTCTAGGCAGTCCAGTGGAACGCTAGCAGGCTCGCAACCTGTAGGTGTTTATTTGAACTACGTGTTCACCATGTGTACTCCATCCCCCTCATGGTTACCTTATTTGGCATGTATTGCTAAGGAATCCCCAAAGTAATGTTGTCCACTCCGATGAAAAATCCTTAGGCTAGGTCCCTTATAATAGATGCTTTAGGGACGTAAAGTGAGGATAACGGGAATGGGTAATCGGGTTGAATGATTTGATGAAAATAATAAACTTATTTATTGTGGGTTGAAAACCTATGTGCTCACCAGGTTACCGAGCCTGACCCACTTAGTTTCTTGTATTACAGGTAGTGACACAAGAGCATAGATGCGAAGATCTGATGAGTGATTATGGATTTATAGGCCAGTAGAAATGAATAGAATATTGTAAGACCTATGTTTTTTTGTTTATGCTTTTGATTTGTATTGACAATGACATCCCGAAGTTTGTAATTTAATGAAAATATATTTCTTCGGATATGCTTTGATAAATTCTTTATCATGTTTTTGGGAACAAATCCGCAACATATTTATTTAAAAGTATACTTTGATTTTCAAATAAAGCATAAACAGATCGGTCTTTTCTGACCGTGAAATTTAGGGATGTCACATGTCTGTTTTATTTACCGTGAATATGCATGTCCTCTTTAGATTACAATTCTAAATATATCATTTTTTTTATAAAAAACCAATAAAAAAGTGACCCGTGGTTCACCACAGTCTCACTCAGTAGTTTAATTTATTAACTTAAATATGTTGTTAGTTATAAATATTATCATAAATAGAAGACTTCTTGAATTATCAATATTATATACTAAATTTGTTGACTTCAATATGGTGATAAATGCATAACCTAAATTAATATAGCAAACAAACATAATAATATAGCGTAAATTTTAAAACCTATTTTTTTAAATAGCTAAAAGGAAAATATTAAATATGATAAATGTAAAAGAACCTAAATCTAAAAGTCAAATTAACTAAAAGATGTCCATTTTTTATTTTATTTTTATAATAACTAAAATTCAATTAAGTTGTTTTTAAATTAATTTGTAATAATAATAGTTAAACATAACATAAGGTTATGAACTAAATTATGTTACATTACAAACAATAGTTGATAATTTAAATAAACATTATGATGAAATTAAAAGATCGTAAAAAAAATTTTAAATTTAATAAACCATAAAAGTAGTTTGTTAAAATAGTTGAGAAATATAACTAATTTTATACACACGTAAAACGTGAGTAGAAGCCATTAAATGATTATATTTTAATAAATGTTAAATTATCTATTGTTCAAATTAATTATAATTTTACAAAAACTAAATGTAATAATTATTATTTTATAGTTAATATAAATGACATAAATACTTTCAATAACATATGCTTACCTAAAATTTAACTGTATAATTTTATTTAGTGCAACGTGCAAATATTCGTTTAAAACGATGAAACATTAGTTCAGATGTTTTTTTAATTGGAATGTGTTTTTAACGTTTTAAAAAGTTGGGTACGTTCTACGATACTATCTCTAATAACATTAAAAATAAATAATTGAAAATAAGTAATGGAGTTAAAAAAGTTTAGCATTACTTAATGGATTTATACGGGCGGTATTGATAAATAGAGAGACCAAATGCATTAAGACTTTGCCATAAGAATATTTTTTTGCAAAAATATATTTTAAGGATCCGTGTACAATCGTTTGAACATTTTAATGAGTGTTTAAAATCATTTAATCTCTTTAGTATTTTTTTAGCCCAACCTATTTATCTAGTCATGCTTATCTTCACATTGTCAATAGTAGGCCATCTTTAGCTGCACATATACCATAAATTCGTCATAAATTACAATGTAAATAATTTATGGCAGGTCAGGGGGGTAGGTTTAGGTTGGGGCAATTTTTCTAGCAACTTTTATGATCAACGTTGTTAAAATCATAATCTTGATCGTAGGACAGTACAATCTTACGATTACACCTAGGTAAATTGATTTCAGTCACATGTGACTTGTTTTTGAGTAAGACCGGAGTAGCATTGCAGGATCGGATCGTGTTATCGTTACATTTTTTTAGAAAATTTTAATATTTTGTCTTGGATTAAGTAACTACATAGAATATGAACTTAAAAAAAACCTTTTTGACTGTCAAATGATGTATTGAAGATGTTTTTTTCAAGTTTTAAACTACTAATTGCTAAGCAAATGGTTAACTCACAGATGAATGTTTTTATATGTTTTGAAATACTTTTGGTAGGATCTTACAATCGCGATTCGATCCTATGATCATGATATTGCACAACGAAAAATGATCCTATATAGGATCTCGATTTTGAAAACATTGGCTTGAACAATTGGAATCATCCAAATGATTACATTTTCATCTCCAAGGTGAGAGCTATCTCGTTCTTGTTGATTAAGGGAGTGGTGCCACTTTTTTCACACCCTTTTTGCTGCAAGTCACCTCATTTTTTCCACATACCTCGCAAATCTTGCTATTGGGGGGGGGGGGGGGGGGGGGGTTATCATAAAAATAACACTTATTGACGCTATTTTTCACACCTCCTAACAACTTGCCAAAATTCTATACATGGGAAAGGTTTGTTATGCCTTCCGTGGAAATTTTGAAGAGCATTGTTTAATATCATTCCATCATTTTCACTATTTGCTGAAGTATGTTTCACTCTATTAAACAAAACGTGAAACTGTTCTATCACTTTGCTCGTGTTCCTCCATTTATCCATTTATTGAAGATTTGATCTTTGCTTCCGTGGCGACCTTGACCTATTTCCTTGTTGAATCGTTTGGAGATTCTGTTCCAAAAAAAGAACTCACAGTAGTAGTTGCTAATTGGGTAATCATTTACATTGACTCATGCACGGGCCAAAACTACCTCTTCCCGTCAGGGGCCAACAAAGCTATTTTGAGAGATGTTTATGAGTGTTGAATGTTTGGGAGGGATGTATGTTGAAGGTTTGAAAATAATGAAAAAACGAAGAAAGTTGCCGGTATTTGTTTTAGTTGAAAAGATTTTAAATTTGAAATCTTGAAAAAAGAAAGCGGTTAGTTTTTTGAAAAGTGGTAAAAAAACTCATCTTTAGCCTATTACCAAATTCACCTTCCGAGCTAAGGGACGGTGTTTGCCAAGCCACCTTAGGTGTTGTCAAGGCATAGCCAATCCCACTAGTGGCGTAGCCAGGATTATATTTTAGGATAGGCAAAATAATTTACAAAATATGAACATGTAACAAAATATTTTAATTGATAACAAATGTGTTATTTCATATTTAGTTTGATGTGTTTAATGGTTGGAACATATGACAATACATGTCCCTAATTCCTTTTATTTAATAAAAATATATAATATATGAAACCTCAAATTTATGTGGGTGGCCAAGGCCTACTATTGGGTGAATGTGGTAGATTGAATGTTACCTCCTACCTAGTTTTTTAATTAATTTTTTAAATTAATCTACTGTCCAAAAATAAATAAATAAATTTATCATAGGTGGATCGAAAATGTTGAAGGGTGTGATTGTGCTCTATGGTTCCATAAATAGTTAAAGACCGAAAGCATTTTCTATTTCAGTTCCAGCATAAGAATTTGTTAGCAATGGCTGTTATGATCACCACTGCATCCATACTTATGAACTCTTCTCCATACCCGGGCATGATATCTGGCAAGTTCGGAGGCACTCCAGGGGCCATGCATAAGCATGAGAACATCAAGTTAAAACGTAATTCTTCTTGGGGTTTGCAATTTAAAGCTCCAACAAAGGTAAATGCTACAAAAGTAGGTGCTATGGATTGGAGTATGGCCGACCCAGAAAAAGAGGGTCCAAACATGGTTTCGGATCTTGGTGTAGAAAGAATGATTCAAGATGGTTTTATATTCCAAGAAAAAAATTGTATTAGGGTATATGAAGCAGGGCCAGATAAAAAAGCTTCCATAGAAACACTCATGAACCATTTGCTGGTATATATATATGTTCAATGTGTAATTTGTTTATACTTAGAATCACAGTTTTATTAAAGTTAGTAAGAAGCTACTAAAAAAAGCAAGATACAAATAAGCTGATTGTTATAGACATGTGCCTTTTGGTTTGTCTATTTCTAGTTATGTACATGCTATTATTCACAATGTCAAGGTGGACTCACAGGAAACAAGCATTAATCATATGAAGAAAACTGGATTTATACATGACGGGCTTCGGTCAGAGGAGATGTCCAAGCACAACCTAACGTGGGTGGTGGCAAAGATCCAAATGGTTGTGGATCGTTATCCAAAGTGGTACAACACTCATTTTCATCTATACATGGTCCTTGGTTCACTATAATTCAAACATTTAATCATCTTTATCTTTGAAGCTGATATATAAAAAAGTAGATCATTAAAACCCATCTCTTTACAATTATATATATTTATAATTTTTTAAATCGTGAAACTTGCTAGCTTTGTGAAAGTCACATTTCCTTTGAAACACTAGGAATTTGTCATGATAAGATTGTTATGTTGGACCATGATGTACTCTGGCATGCTCAAATCTTCTACACTGGAGATATTGTTGAGATTGATAATTGGAAAACTGCGCTTGGAAAAAATGGTGTGTGTTGTAATTTGACATTCCGTGACTGCATAACAGGCCAGATATTAGTAAGAGCTTCAAGGTATAAATCTTTTGTTATAATATGATGACTTAAAACTTGATTCTAGTAGAACATCTTTGTATTGATATAATACTTCTACTATCTTGTAGCTTTTGGGTGATAATGAATAAAAAGACAAGAAAGTTATCCAGATTCCCAAATGAAGTTCGAGCTAAATTGGAAAAATTCTTTGTTGATAAACCCCCTTTAGTCGAACAAGCAACTAGAACGTGGTCAAGAAGTGAGGATAACATTATTGAACACATTTGCAAAGGTTTAAAGGTGGGTCCATTTTTATCGTACTTTGAAATATTATATATAGGTTATTTGCTAATTACATGATTTTTCTGATTCATTTTACACATAAATTTTAGCCAAGATGGAGCGATTTAGATATTAACCAACATGTGAATCATGTGAAATATGTTGGGTTGATCCTTGAGGTAATTGGCTTATATTATATTTTAAAGAATGAGAAAAATACAGCCTAATTCCTTAATACATTTTCAAGAAAAAAAAAGAAATTACCAAAATAGACATAAAAATCACAGTTCGCCTAGACTGGGCTGCGATTTTATTCTCTCGGAGAAAATCGTAAAGATTTTCACAACCCAAATGAGAATGTTAGTATGAGAGAATAAAATCGCAGCCCACTACGGCCCAATTGCGATTTTCTTGGCTATTTTGGTAATTTTTTAATTTTCTTGGTTATTTCTTGGTAAATCGTAAAGGAATTAGTCTAAAGTTATCGTTTTTTCTATATTTTAAGGATGATTTATACATGAATTATAATGAGACTTATTTTTTGTTATAGAGTGTTCCCAAGACCATTATAGAGAAGTACGAGATTGATAGCATGACACTAGATTACTATCAAGAGTTTACAAATGACAATATACTACAATCCTTCACTTATATATTGACCAACGACAATGCCATAATATCTAATTGTGACATTGTTGATTGCCAACATTTGCTTCAATTTGAGATCGGCGGTGGTAATAGTAATATCATGAAAGGAATGACTAGATGGCGGCTGAAACACAAGAAAACTCAAGGACTCTAGAACATAGTTGCTTACTTAACGAAAATGTCACAATTACAGTCAAAGCTTATAACCGACATCAAGCCTCTTCAGGTTCTTTATCTAAATGATTGTGATTCTGAAATGGGTGGCCTATTTTTCAATAAACCTTTGGAATTATCATCTCTTTACAAATATAAAGGTACTCGTGTTGTATATGAATAAATAATTATCCAAGGGTTCACAAACCATTTTTTATTGATAACTAAAAGGTATTGGTGTGCTTATTATAAGGGAGAAGGGATCATGGAAAAAGGGGTGGAGGTACTGCCTTGTTCATGATGTAATTCCATCACCAGCGGTTAAGGCTGTTGGCGTGATATGCGGGTTATGTAGCCCACTACTTCCTTTTCTCACTTCCTTTAGCTTGTGCATTATGATTGTTATTTGTACCATAATTATTTTGAATACTTTTAATTGAGTGGGTTGAAAAAGATAGATTTTTATGTGTTGTGTATCGGAGAAGATGAAAAAAATGAGAGTGAATAGATGATGTGGCAGTGGGTTGAGGGGTTAGTAGAGAATGACTCCCTTCTCTCTTAAATATGATGAAATAGAATTTTTTTTTGAATAAATACATTTATATTTATATTTTCATTTGATGAATATGTACTTACATAATGATAAACGAAGGAAGTTGTTGAAACTAAAAAGACATAAAATTAAAAGTATCTCTCTCATGCTTGACCTTATTTATAGGTCCAAAACATTGCCAAATCGTAGGAGATAACATTGAAGACATGGAGACAAAAAGGGAGATTCTTTGGATCAACAAAAAACACATCCACACACAAATAATGTATTGATTATTTTGAATTATATAATGATATATACATCTATTAAAAATGTATAATCTCAATCGTTTGAATAACCTCTACCCGTGGGTTACTTATGAATGAAAATAAAAAATTATATATAGTTTAATGTTATTTATAGTTGTTGTTATTGTTAATTAGTTTTTTAAAATTTATTTGCTCAACGTTTTAATTTCTATCATTGTAATTATTTACAACATCAAACATTGTTTTTTGTTTTTAAAGGTAACAATATAATCATTTATATAGAGTTATTTTTAACTATTGTAATTGTAAGTTATTTTAAGCTACTTATTTGAAAACTTTTAATGATTATAAAATATCTTTAGGAAATATTTTAGTAAAATTTAGATTACAATTTAGTTTTTGCATTTAGCACTACAATTTATCATTTTTAACTATTCACAAAATATTCTTTGGGTTTTTTAAGTGGAACTGAAATTTATATTTAAGTTGACCATGTAATGCTATATTTAAATTAACAATTTAATTATTTATGCAAACTGTTCAATAATTGTAGTTTTAAACATTAAATTTATTAAATTAAGTATAATATGTTAAAAGTTAAAGACATAACTTTATAAGTAGAAGTAAATGTATTATTTTAATATTGAAATTTAGTTTATTTATGATTAAACTTTAGGTTTGATATTTATTTAAGCTTATTAACCAACTTATAATCATTAATAGAAAGACACTACAATTTATCACTTTAACTATTTACAAAATATTATTTGGATTGTTTAAGTTGAACTAAAATTTATATTTAAGTTGACCCTATAATGTTATATTTAAATTTACAATTTAAGTATTTTATCAAAAGTGTTCAAAAGTTGTAGTTTTAAATTGATAATGGTTTATATACAATAACATTTTAAAACTAATAAATTAAGTATAATATGTTAAAAAATAAAGACATAATTTTGTAAGTAAAAGTAAAAATATTATTTTAATATTGAAATTTAGTTTATATATGATTACACTTTAGGTTTTATATTTATTTAACCTTATTAACCATCTTACAATTATTATTAGAAAGAAATTGAAAAGTCATGAGAGTTTCAAATGAATGTGGTGAAAGGAAAAATGCTTCCTTTATAAGTATATATATATATAGATATATATATATATATATATATATATATATATATATATATATATATAATATATATATATATATATATATATCTATATATATATATAGTAGGCGAATCCCCGCACGTTGCGCGGGAATAAAATTATATAGTTAAAATAATAACTTTTACCAAATTATTATTTAATATTTCTACTTTGAAACAAAATGTTAGTAGTAAAGCAAACATATAGTTAACATATTAGTTTTATTAAACATTATAGTTTTATTAAACATTATAGTTTAAGTTTTAAGTCATTGTGATATATTCAATTATTGGATAATTTTATAAACCGTTTAAAATTGTGTAAATTATATATCAAATGAATGATAATATAACGGGTAACAAAAAGTATGAACAAAAATATGAACTGCAACTTTTAGTAACATTAAAATAGAAAAACATCTATTATAACATTTGTATTAAAAAAGATATATATACAATGAATAATAAAAAAATATGAAAAATAAACACTATAACTTTTAATAACATAAAAACACTAAAACATCTATTATAACATTTATATTAACTCTTCATATTTAAATCATAAATTTCTTCAAATACATTAATGTTTTTAATGAGCAAAACTTTACAACCTTATAAAAGAAAGGAAAATAAAAAGTTATTAGTGATTACTAATTAATAATCATAAGTTAAAAATTCTTGAGTTGTAACTAATAAATATACATAAATTAGAAAACTCTTAATTTGTAGTGTGAGTTTCAAATGAATGCGATACTTGGAAATGTATATTTATTATTATTATTATTATTATTATTATTATTATTATTATATTCGTCTAAATAATTGGTTTTGATGCATCATTTTAATCCTTTCATTTATTAAACATAAAGATATTTAATTATAAATTTATAACATAAATAGGTGCATATACATGTTAAACAAATCACATATAATATATATATTTTCGTAAATGTCATATGTAATTCTTGTTGTAGTAATATGGATAAATTACTTTCATATGAAGAACATATCATGATAAGTCTATCATAATTACATATCAAATGTTCAAAATTATGTTATCTTTTAAATATGTTGTGTAGGATAACCCAACAAAAAAATAATAGAAAATAAACATAATCAAAATAGAAAAACTACAATCAGATAAATAAGAGCATTGGATGGTTGAATATATAAATAAAGATGTTACATAAAAATACATTTAAATCAAAAGAAAAAACTAACATTCGTAAACTTTGCTCAAACAAAAAAACCTATATTCATTTTATGAATCTTCTTTCTTCATTTAACACCATTCAACCATAGAAACTTGATGACAATTCTTCACTAACCTGCAATCAAAATATTTTTCTTGAAAAAGAAGAATTAGAAAGATATTCCAAGCAAAACATTGATGTTTGGAGAGTCACATTCAAGATTGAGTAATACACACAAATCATATATATAGATTAAATGAGAAACTGAATATAAAGAAAGAATAGAAAAGCTTCATTTGTTTTGTTTGAAAGAAAAAATCATATTACAATTACCATCGATGCAACATAACCCATTTCTTCAAATCATCATATTTGGATCGTGAATGCTTCAACTATATGAAAACTTTTGAATCACAATATCTTCAAATCCTTCTTACATGTAAGAATTTATATAACACAAAAGATTGGCCTTTTTATAGTAAAGTTTTCACTAAATGTTAATTAAACATAATATAAGTTATAAAACTTTTGAGTGTTAAATCATAATTAAGAAAACTTTTGAGTTGCATTAGTTAAAAAAGGGGGTTTCAAATGAATGTGGTTTGAGGAAGTTAAAAAAAGGGGGTTTCAAATGCATGAGATTCAAGAAAAAATGCTAGCTTTATAAGTATGTATGATATATATATATATATATATATATATATATATATATATATATATATATATATCATGGTTGTAAAAAACGAGAGACGTTAGCTAGTCTGTGGAGTGGAATTAATGATTAATTGGCTAGACGATGATTAATCGGAGACTATTTATTTCTAATTCGTTGCATTTTAAAAAATTAAATATGACTAATATCATTACAAAGTTTTTAAATATCACTAATATGATTAGTTCTTTTATGCAAATAGATTACTACACCAAATAAACTATGTGTGTGTGTGTGTGTGTTAAAGACTTGATTTAAGGTAATCTTAAAACTCTCATAATCGACCCACATGGCTATATGTTCAATGTTCACTAATAGTAACTCAATTCATTCAATTCAGATCCATGCACAACATTAAAATGTTATATAATACATTCAGTAGTAACCAAAATTATAAATCGTCGAATAGTTTGTTTCAGAAATTAGCTTCTTTTCGGCGGACAATAATTAGTTACAATCTAATGGTTAGTTTGGTTTGAAAAACATATCATATTAAAAATAAGACATAATATATTGTAAATTAAAGTTTAGAGTTTAGTGTGGGGGTTCGCTTAATAAATATAAGTATGATATAAGTATGCTATAGTTTTAGTTTTAGGATATAACTAGGATTTTACCGGCCGCGCGTTGCAGCGGCATTAACGGGTTTAAGTTGAATTTTGACGATTGTATTGATAAAAGTTACACACCGTTGCATCTGTTGGTAGATTAATATAGAATGTCGGTAACACTAAATAACTCCAGTTTATACCGTCGAATGAAAATGTATTTTATATGCCACCGAAATCATACGTAGGAAACGTATATAAAAATAATCACAAAAGCGTACACAAAATTTACATCAAAACATAAAGAAACTTGAATGTATATCGACATATATATAGAAATAAGCAAGTAAGATTATTTTATTAAGTCAACGCATGAAAGTTCAAACTATAAAAAACCTATTATATGTGATCGATTGATATGTAGGAGAAATATATAAAAATAAGCATGAAAACATTAAAAAAAATTCGTCAAAATGTATATAAACTCGAATTTGTACCAATACGTACATAAAAAACAAATATATATATTTTTTAATTGACGAATGAAAGTTCTAAATGTTGACAACCTCGAATTTATACGGAGTCATACATTAAAA